CTCTCCACTTCAGATACCGGAAGAGTACTAGCTGGTAACTCATACGAGAACCAACTCTCATCCATCATGTCCGGAACCGGTGGGGGTTTCTCAATACTTCGATATATTACCCCATGTGAATCGGGCTCTGGAATGGTGAGAGGGACCTCTTCAACGATGACAGTGGCCTCTTGAACGGTGGGGGGGACTCTTGAGGGAGGATAGGGGCCTCTTGAACGATTGGAGGGGACTCTTGAGGGATGACCGGTGAGTCGGGCTTCTTCTTGCGGAGTCTTCGCACCATTGGGGTGAACGGAGACGTAATAGCACGTCCACGCCGTCTGATGCGTGAACTCCGTCGTGCAAGGAAAACCCGACGTAAAGCATCCACCTTATCGGGCCGCTAAAAAAAATTAATACATAAATCAGTAAATAAACAGACATGATATTAAACAAAGACAAATATGTTTCAAACTAGCATTGTAGTCACCCAAGTCATTATTCTATCATAGTTCACAAAATGCTCAGATAACATTCCAGAAGTAAGCACTTATATAAACATTTAAAAGGACAACATATATAAACATTCAAGAAGAAGAATAGTTTACTTTCGCAACACGAAACTTAAAATCGCAACGCGAAAATGACTATCGCAACGCGGAAATGGCTATCGCAATGCGAAATGAAAATCGCAACGACAAAATCGCAATGCGAAATGAAAATCGCAACGACAAAATCGCAACGCGAAACACAAATCGCATTGCGATTTTCATTTCGCGTTGCGATTTTGTCGTTGCGATTTTCATTTCGCATTGCGATTTTGTCGTTGCGATTTTCATTTTGCATTGCGATAGCCATTTCCGCGTTGCGATAGTCATTTTCGTGTTGCGAAAGTAAACTATTCTTCTTCTGCAAATTGAAACTTAAATGGATTGCATTACTTCAACCAAAAGACAAAAACAAAACCAAAAACAAATACTAACAAAAACAGTTTAGCAGTATTTGCAGCAACCGAATGAATTTATTAAGCAATCTAAGTGAAATGGTTAATCTAAGTGAAATTACGAGTAAATTTATCATCAAGTTAACTATGAAAAATCTTAAACTTACCTCGTTGCGTAGAGTATGAACCTCATTCTGCAACGATGCTACCATCTCACGTAGAGCGGCTACCTCACCGCGTAATGTAGACACCTCAACATGCCATGCACCATCGTCTTTGCGTAAAGTACCGACCTCCTCACGCAAGGCATTGACCTCATCACGTAACTCCCCTAACTCATCCCGTGGAGGTGGAGAGCAGGGAGATAAACGTCGTGGCATCTTTGCCGGTCGCTTATCTTGCGGTGATGGTGGAGAAGAGGCTCGATGATGTGACAGAATAGGTGATGGCTGTCGTTGTGGAGGTGTATAGTCGGGTCGATCAGATGATGGCTCTGGGTGAGGTGATAGCTCTGGGCGAGGTGATGGCTCCCGAAGTGGAGGCTGCTCATCATCCGTTCCATCAAAAAAACGCTTACTAGCTTGCCACCAATCAGTGGCAAGCTCAGCTTCCGTGGGTGTCAGCCTCTGGAGAGGAGTGTTGGCCTCCTAACAATATAAAAGCTCAAACAAAGTTAAACGTGTACTAGTAATAACTTGTTTATAAACATATGGTAGTATTTATGTTAACTTACATTATTTATTGTCGTATACCGTAGTAAATCTTCCCATTGCAAGGTCCGTTTCCTCTTCCAGGAAATAGCCCTGGGAATATCATTTGAAGTTTTTATTGCATATGTCTTCATGGCGGGAAAGGCCTCAAATATCCAAATCTACAAACAATATAATAACAAACATTAGTAATTGTTAAATAATTACTTATAATTTTGGAAACATCATATAAAAATTCTTACCTTAAAGGCCCAAATAAAGCCTGTCAAAGTGTATTTGGAACCATCGACATGCAAACTTTTTCGATCATCCAAGGCAGACGATAACTTATTCCATGTAGCTTTCCATAAATACGAGCCCCACGGAAACAGGTTCCACGCATTTAGGTCTTCTACCAATTTGATTAGATCATTCGGAATAGGTTGTCTGGCCTCTCTGCCTAAAAAGCCGGCATGCAAAAGTATTAGAAGGCATACTCGGACAACGTCGACGTCATCCATCCGAGTAAAACCATCTTTCTTATTCAACAATCTTGTCAGGTCTTCTACGTGTAGATTCGGCCTCTCCAGCTCAGGAAAAACCCGGGATAGCCATGATGGGCGGGTAATGTGTCTAGTGTACCGACCTACATCATCGTGTCCGAAGCGTAGATCGGTGATTAAGCAAAACTCCTCCCGCCCAAAACACGTATACGTCGGTGGAAAATCAAACCATATCTCTTCATCACGACGTTGTATAGTCTCTGGTAGATCGCTAGTCATGGTTTGAAGAAACAGGTGTGTCAACATCGCATCTCCACCGGGATGTTGTACTTTCAGCCATGGCCCGAAGCATGTATCCTCAAACATTTTTCTTTGTGCAGGTGAAAGCTTCGACGCAATTGTTTTGGCCAGGCTGACTTTATTTCTTAAGGTCAATTGAGCCGAATAAAAGTTCTACAAAAACAATAAACATACTAAGTTAGATATACCAAAAACTACACTGTGAAGATATACCAAAAACAATAATAAACATAAAGAGTAGTAGTTTATTCTTCAAACTTAAATTTGCAACACTGTGAATTTCGTATTTGTCTTTGTTTTTTGGTTGAAGTAATGCAATTCATTCAAGTTTCAATTTGCAGAAGAAGAATAGTTTCTGAAAATGAAAATCGCAACACGAAAATGACTATCGCAACGCGAATTTGACTATCGCAACGAGAGAATCGCAACGCGAAACTAAAATCGCGTTGCGATTTTGTCGTTTCGATTTTCATTTCGCGTTGCGATTCTCGGTTGATTTAATAAGCAATCTAAGTGAAATGGTTAATCTATTATTGAAATTGCCAGTAAACTTATCATCAATTTCAATATGAAAAACCTAATAATAATGCAAAAATTTCAAAAAGAAAATAATTAAAAAAACTAACCCTCGTTGGTTGATTTGGTTGATTTTCCATTTCTGATTGTGAGGGTGGCTCTGAGAGATGGAGATAGACGGATTTCGCCGGAGATGGGGACGAACTTCGTCGGAGATGGGTGAGAGAGTGAGAGATGGAGATGGGACTGAGTTGTGATTTTAGGTTTTAGGTTATGAGTTGCGATTACGGGATATACTGTGGACGGTTCAGTGTTCCAATATATTAATATTCGTGTTTGGAATTTAAAAATAAAATACTTGGTCAGGATACTAATGGCACTTTGAAAATCGCATTGCGATTATGTATTATCGCGTTGCGAAAGTCAGAATCGCGTTGCGAAAGTCAGTATCGCGTTGCGAAAGTCAGAATCTCGTTGCGATTTTGTATTATCGCATTGCGATAGTCAGTATCGCGTTGCGATAGTCAGTATCGCGTTGCGATTTTCCCAATTCGCGTTGCGATTTACTTATTCGCATTGCGAATTGGGAAAATCACAACGACACTGTAGACCATCGCAACGCGATTTTCAACTATCGCAACGCGAAATGCAACGCGAATTTGCGATAATGGAGATCGCGTTGCGAATTAGCGACCGCATTGCGATTTTGTTGGTCATTTTGGCAAATCCGGAAAAAGTTGGTTAAAATCGTATATTATAAGGCATTTTTTGTCACTGAGGTTATTTTCTCATTACAATATGAGAGATTGAGTGTTTATTTTTAAATTATTGAAAATAATTAGAATAAATACTATTTTATAATCACGTTAGTTTAATTGAAAATACTACCACTTAAAATATATTTTGAAGCATTATTACCAAGTAACAATAAATTCTTTCCAAAATTTAATCGAATTATAATTTATATATCATTTGTTAGAAATTTAGAAATAAAAAAAAAACACACTTTATTAATATCCCTACAAAATTTATGAATGAAGAAATCTGATTAATTATTGAAAAAACCTAATTTTCTCTTAGTAGTGTGCCACTTGTCTTTTTTTCATCTTTATTGATCGACGACGGCACCAACTTTAATTTTGATTGTCGATCATCGATATTTTTTATTGTTTTTTTCTTTTATATATTGTATCTCTATTTTATTTTATTTTGTTTTTTTTATTTTCATCTTTGTTCATCTTTGTTGATCCGACATTTTCATCTGCTTTATGGCACGTCTTATGCTTTTTAGCATGTTTTCAGTTGTTTGGTCGTTTTTTCATTTATCTTTTTTTTAAATTTTGATTTAACATCGTTACGACTGATCAAGATGACGCTTATCTGATATCTTGTTGATCTTCTATTCTTTTGACCATCAGATTGGATTTGGATAGCCGATTTGCATTCATGAATGGCTTTTCACATCACTCGAGTCTGATTTACGGTTTGTCGATGGTCTTTCTATAGTTTAATCCCTTTTGTAGTTCGTTTGCCGATGCAATCATATATGTTTGTATATATCTTTGTTTGAGTTTCTTAGTTAGATTTTCAATCTTAACTTGTATGTTCCTTTATGCGATCTTAAGTTGTTAGTTTTGTTTCATAGGAAATTTTCCTAATTATATGCTTAATTTTCTATTGTGATTATAAATCTTTATTGTTATTTGGGATATTTCCTGAATAAAATTAATTGTTTTTATCCCAAAAAAAGCATCCCTACAAAACTCATCTTTGCCACATAAATCGTACAAAGTATATAAATAAAAAAATTACATCTCTTCAAAATAATTATCTATTATAATTCTAAAAATTTAAACATGCCCTCTAATTATATAATAATAATAATAATAATGAAACGCTTAACAACATAATAATTATTTTGTTACTTTTCGATAATATAGTGATCATTTTATCACTTTTAAAACTTTAATATAAAAAGAAAACTTTATTTGTACTTTAGTGATCATTTAGGTAGTTTACCCTTACATCTAAACATCATAATAATGCATCGCATACCGCAAGTTAAGATCTTTTTCTTTCCTCTGCTTTTATTCTCGATTTTTCTCTCTCCATCTCCCGATCCTCAATACCCTAATTTCTTTTTCCCCTTCCCCTTTTGATTAATCCATCGAAGCTTGCCAATGGCCAATAGTAATCTCCCTCGAAGAATCATCAAGGTTACTCTTTCGATCTTTCTTCGGTCCTTCTTGTTTTCTCCGATTTTTTGTTTCCCGAGAACCCTGAAGAAAATCTTTGTTCTTTTACTATATTATTATTTTATTATTATTATTTTGCACTTACAGCGTTAGGTTTTGCAACTGGAGTTTTTAATGGGTTTTGATGTATTAAGCCCTTTGCTAATTATTTTAAGATCGTTTTCTGAGATTGAAGAAAAGATTTTCCTTTCTTGTGTGTGAGCTTTTTTTTTCGTCCTTTAATTTGGGTTTCTTCATCTTTGATCTAAACAGGAAACTCAGCGTCTCCTCAGTGAACCTGGTAACCACTTTGCTTTTTCCTTGCCTTTTCTTTTTCTTTTATAGAAATTATTGTTGACTTTTGATTAGTAAGTTAAACTTTTTTTTTGGAATAAGATAGGTTTTTTAATTTCTTTTATATTATGATAGCTCCGGGAATTAGTGCTTCTCCTTCTGAGGATAATATGCGATATTTCAATGTGATGATCCTTGGTCCCACACAGTCTCCATATGAAGGTAATTGATTTTTCCTTCTAATTGGTTGGAAATATTTTTGCTTTTGAACTGTAATATTTTACAGTTGATTTAAACCATAAGGAGGGGCACCAATGCTGATTATCTGTCATTAAAATGATTTCTATATGGTTGAATTTGGAAAGCATTTGATGAAATGGTTTTCGATTGTTTGATTTCTTTTCTTTTTTTTGTTGGTTTCCCAATCTTCTAAAGGGGAAAATGGTCTGATGTTTTCGGTCTTGAGACTTGTGTCAAATGCTTTTCCAGTCTTATATGGTGCTTGGTCTGGTTGTTGAATGTTGTTTTTAATATCCCTCTTTTTTTTCTTTTTATTTTTTTACATTATGTAATTCTTTTGGCACTTGTGTTACTGTGTATAGGATTTGACACCTTTTCTTGTTTGAGATTTTAGGTGGGGTTTTCAAGTTGGAATTATTTTTGCCCGAAGAATATCCCATGGCTGCTCCCAAGGTACTCGACTTTGAGTCATTCTTAGAACTAGCATGATTTCCCGTATCTGCATATATCGCTTGTAAGGTCAATTGCTGGTCCTTGGATGCACAGTATTCCTTGGCTTCATCTGAAAAAATTGTTACTTATAGGGATCTCAATATGATTTAGAATGTTGTAGTTTGCACTATAGAGAAATCTGTTTTTTTTTACTTGGTGATTCCTTTGGCTTGTTAAGTCTTACTCTATCTTCATATGTTCAATTGTTTGTTGATCGGTGTTGTAGTAAACCTGCTTTTTTTTTGTTGATACATGGTAAAATGATTTTGAATGCTCGCTCTTCCTCTCACAACATCTTTTTATCTATATTTATTTATATATGGTAGGCACTTCATTTATGTCCTTAAGTTTGCAACTTACCATTTGGTTCTCTTGTACTAGTGAATCACAAGTGTAGTATATTAATAGATTTGCCAACTAACAGTGGTTGGAATTCAGCATCAATTTATTGTTTTCTATTATTGGAAGCTTTCTGAAGTCCATTGGTGACATCCTTTTCGAAATATTTTGTATTTTGCCTACCTTAACCAATTTGGTGTAACAGGTTCGGTTTCTTACAAGGATATATCATCCTAACATTGATAAGGTTGGCACCTGTTCCTTCTTTTGTCCTTAATATATGGTGTGAAAGATGTAACATTTTGGCTCTAAGGGTTAAACATTCTTGCAGCTGGGGAGAATATGCCTTGATATTCTCAAAGACAAATGGAGTCCAGCTCTCCAGATCCGAACTGTACTTTTGAGGTATTTTAAGTCTCCGTAATATGTATTTCTATCGATGTAAACCAATGTGGGTTACATGATCTTGAATACATCAACTCTGCTGAAAATTCTTTATTACATGTTTTCATATTGCCATTTTTTTCTTTTGGAAAATTGGGTTTTATAAGTAAAATTGAAATCGAATATTTTTTTCCTACACTGCATATTCTTGTTGTTTCCCCTCCCCCAGGAACACTTATCAGCAATTTATAACACATATTACTACGTCAGAAATGGTTTCGTTCGTGCTTGCATTGGAGACATTATCTTTATTTATGACATTATAACTTGAGTGTTACGATACTAAACTGACGTAATATCATTACTTCAGCATCCAAGCACTTTTGAGTGCTCCAAATCCCGATGATCCGCTCTCTGAAAATATTGCTAAGCACTGGAAAACAAACGAGGTTGAAGCCGTCGAGACAGGTAAAATCTATACTTGCAATCTTAGGTCGTTGGGGTCGCCTAATTCAACTAAAATCAATGATGATATTGATTCGCTGATCAACTGTTCATGATTTCTGTGACCCTTTGCAGCAAAGGAATGGACCCGTTTATATGCAAGCGGTGCATGACGACGGGCGGAATCATTTGCGCTCATAAAATAGCAATTTATGCAATGTAAGCTACTCAATGCCAAATTCATATGGAAATTTGGTCGAATGATGTTTGAAAGAGTTTGATACCTGTTAAAAATCATAATCCTGTTGGAAGTAGTCTCTGAGCTTGTATTATAATACACATTTGTGATCTAAAACTCCCAAATGAAGAACTATGGGATTATTCTATAATATGGTTATTTCTGAGTCCTGATTTGATATATTCGGATATGGATTTGAGAATATGTTTTCAAATATATAAACTTTTTTTAAAAAATAAATATGAATAAATTTATGTTGAATGCATATTCATATATTCGTATTTGATATTCATTTTGAATATAACGAAATTGATATCAAATATTGTAAGTGTCAAATTATTGAACTCAATTTATAGGGGATTATTCATGAAGCGATGAAGGATTTTTTTAATCAAAAGCGAATTTTTAATGATATTATGTGTCTTGTAGTGATGTTAAATTTTAAAATTTCAATTTTAATAGGGTAAAGTACATAAATGGTTCTTTGACTATAGAGTGTTTTATTAAGTCTTTTAACTATTAAAAGTTATAAAATGATCTCTCGACTATAAGATGATTTTTAAGTCCTCTGAGTATTAAAAGTTATAAAATGGTCACTTGACGATTCATTGTGTTCTAAATTTGTCTTTTTTCGTTAAAAAATTAATAGCAATTTTAGTTGGATGTTAACTTGTTGATCGAGACAGTTGTGAATTTGATTCGATCTTTACCTAGGGTTTTGAGACAGTTGTGAATTTGATAAATTATGTTAGGAGTTTGATTGTAGAAGCTTTGAAATGTTGTTTAGAAGTTGAATTTATGCTTGAATCAAGTCGGAAATCATGAAATCCCTAAACTTAGGTGTTCGGTCTAAAGAAGAAAATTAGGGAAAATTATGAAAAATTTACCTAAGCTAAGAAATCATATTTGGAAGGTTCTAAAAGCTTTATAATGTTGTTTAGACCAATTTATAAATTGTACAAGTTTAGGGACTTATTCATAATTTATGAAAAATTATGGGGTTGATGTAAAATTGTTCTAGTTGTTGTACTATATTGGAATTTAATGTTTGAATATTGAATTTGATGTTAGAATGTGCAATTGAACTATTTTAGAAAGTTGGTAAAGTTTGAGGACCAAATTGAAAATATGGGAAAGTTAGTGAGTTAAGTGAAAATGATATAATTGTTGGTGTATTAGGTTTGAATTAAATTCTGGAATTTATGATTATTGTAAACCCCATTTATTTTATTTTATTTTTATGTATTATTTTATTATTATTATATAAAAAGAAAAAAAACTATATAATATTGTAGAAGTTGGGGTATAATAATTAGGCATGGATATGGGTCAAGTTTAGGTTGAGTTTGAGTCAATCCGATCTGAGCCAAAAAATTTATATTTTTCACCAGACTCGATCCGGCCCGAAAAATATATATCCTCCACCCGACCCAATTTTTTAGATAAAATCTGAACCCGACCCGACCCGAAATAATAAAAATATTATTTTTATTCAATAAAAATAGTGATTTAATTAAAAAATAATATATAGAAAGATATTATTGTAATTATTCCTAAATATATAAGATAAAATTATATTTTTTTCAAGTTGAATATTTTTCATCCTAAACTGAATCCGACCCGGATATCACCTTTAAAAAATCCAACCCGACCTAACCGGAACCCAAATTTTTTTTAAAAAAAACTCAACCTGATCGAATCGAAACCCGTCGGGTTCGGTTCCATGCCCATCCCTAATAATAACCCCAACCATTTTGTATCCAGTCTCCCTTTTTGACCCCCGGAAATATGGAAAAAAAAAACTTTTGACCAGACACTTGGGTGACGTTTGGTTGGATGGAATCCCTTGGAATTGGGGGAATTAGAATTCAATTCCACCACTTTCCCATGTTTGGTTCAAGTTTTACAAGGGAATTGGAATCCCTCATGACTTCAACTTTCCATCAAATGAGGAAAAGTGAATTCCATCCAATAATGGATGTAATTCAATTCCCTTGTTGGAGGGAATTGAAATTTGACCATACCACCCTCATCAATCTTTTGGTAACTTATTTATATATTGAATAAAAATATTTTTTAATTATTTCGGGTCTGGTCGAGTTTCTAATTCATATATTCGGGTCGTTTGTGGCATAGGGAGTAGTCACCGTTGAGCCGTGGGCGGCGTGCAAGGAGACGACCTACGGTTAAGCAACGCCGGTTGTTGGTGACCGGCGGAGGTCTGGGAGTTTCGGCCGAAAGGTCGATGTTTGGAGTGTGATTTTCGGGGCTTGGTTTGTGAGTGATGAGCGGACATCGGGGGCCCTTTTTATGTTGTTTAAGTCTTCGTCGGTCGGTTGACACCGATCGTGAGGGAGTGAGGGTAACGCCGATGGTTGGTAGCCGGCGTTGAGGCTTGTTTTAAGCCTCTCGGCGTGAGGGAGAGAAAGAACGAGAGAGAGAGTTTACACGCTTCCTCCGCCGCAACTAGAGGTTTGAGGAGGAGGTACGGTGGGGTTTTGACGGTGGAAATCCAATCGGAAACGAGATCGGTTGGTGAAGAAAGGCCGGTGATGAAGCGAGCGTAGGATGGGGAGGAAGAGAAATAGAAGAGGAAGATGAAAAGGAGCAGTAAACGTTGTGGAGCCATGAAATTCTATGGCATAGGAAATGGTTTTAAGGAAATTATCGAAGGAAAATGGAAGGTTTTATATACAGAGCACTTCAATCTAGTTAATTCTCAAACACTTTCCGATAAATATGTAAATGACCGATTGAATTTATTTTTATTTTAAAATATTATTTTGTTTTAAATATTAATTTGTTGAGTCTTCACTACTAAAATTTATAAAATGATCATCGATTATAAGACGTTGCTTTGTTGAACCATCAATTTACTTCAAACTCATATTGCAATCAATTTTTTAACGAAAAATGTTGGATTTGAAATATATAAATAATTAGGTGATCATTTGTAACATTTAATAATTAAGAGACTCAATAAAACAATATCTTAAATTTGTGTGATCATTTTGTAACTTCTAATAGTTGTGGGACTCAACAAAACATCATGTTATAGTCTAGGGATCATTTGTATACTTTACCCTAAAAATTATTTTTATCAAATAAATAATTAAATATTTTTATTTTATTGAAATAAAAAAAAATCGTTTTTCAGTTTATTGTTATTTAATACAAGTATAATATATGTATTAATTATTGTGTTAGAAAATAATAAATAAAAAGTATTAGATTGGATCTCAACATGATGGGAAGAATATAAAAGATAAAGGTTGAATTGTTAAAATATTAAAGATTATTATTGCATGTAATAATAATAAAAAATCAGATCAAAATTTATTGTTTTTATGTGTTTTCAATTATATTAAAAATAAATTAAAATTAACTATATATATAGTATAAGTATTACAATCCACTTTTAGAATATTTTATTTAATTATCTGTACACGGAATAATTATCTAAATATTAATATCAAATAGCTTTTTTCCTTTTCAACATTGTGAAAGTTAAATTATTATAATATTTAAATCTAATCCTTATACACATGTTGATCATCATCCTTGCTATCATTGTTATCGATCGAACCTTCAACCGATCGCACCTCCACCGACGACCATTTACCCAACGAAAAGCCACCATAACAGCAGATAGTTAACCTAAATTGTGATGAACAAAGCCCACAATAAACAATCTCAACTACGACTCCATGCGACCTTGACGACCATCTCGACAACAAGGGCGACGTTATCCGACTAGGGAGATAGTAAGGACGGCGTCGGTTGCCATGGCCAGTAAGGGAGGTAAGGTTAGGGTTAAGGATTTGGAATTTTTAGGTATTTGGTGTTTTTTTGTAATTTAAGGGAAATTAGTGTTTTTTAATAAAAATTTTAAAATTATTAGAATGTGACACATGTCATTTAACGGGGGGTTTTAACGGCCCTTATGACCGGGACACCTAAAGTGACAACGTTTGTAACGTTAGACACCTATATGAATTGAAAAAGTGACAACGTTTGTAACGTTAGACACCTGAATGAATTAAAAAAGTTTAGGCACCATTTTGGAAAAAGGGTATTTTGGGCACTTATTTTCTAATTAAGCCTTTACTCATTTTTTAGTAGAACCAAAATGCAATTAACCACCTAGTACCGGGACTACTGTGGTACTTTCACCCCTGCGCTTACATAGTTCTTGCGAGGTTATTAGCTTAGAGACTTAAATGAATTTTTGAAGAAGTGATTGGACTCCAACCGGATTCACTTTCTTGTTGGGTAGATAAATTCTCCACTACGCCTTGTTTGCCGTTAGGGCCGTAAATGAGGCGAGACAAATCGCGAGTTATTCGAGATTAATTTGGTCAAGGCTCGATAAATACTCGGATCAAATGGACTCGACTCGAGCTCGAGCTAAACTCGAATTCTTAACGAGCCGAAACGAGCTACTTAATATTCGACTCGAAAATCTCGTGAGCAGCTCGAAAATATAATATATTAAGATTTTATTATTAAAAAAAATTAATTATTAATAATATTAACATTTATGTATTGATTTTTTTTAAAAATACATTAAGACTTTCATGTATTTAAGGTTTAGGTTCGAGTTCGAGTTTGAGGCTTCAATCTAGTTAAGTCTAAGTTTTTTTTTCATTTCAAACCTTTTCGAGCTGTTCACGAGCTTCAATTCAGGATTTCGAGTTCAAGTCGAACTTAAAAATTTTAAGCTCACGAGTTTTCAAATCGAGTCGAGTTGCATTTCAGAGTTTTCGAGTCGAGTCGAGCTCAACATACTCGAACTCGACTCGGCTCGTTTACACCCCAAATTGCCGTTGAGACCACTGAAAATATTAGAAGTAGGTGACGTGAATTGACTTTTAAGCAAAAAGGTTTAATACAATAAATCTGATCGGTTATAAAAAAGAGAAATAAAAAAATTAATTATCAAAAAATAATCGATAGATTTGACGCATTTATTTTGATAGTCGTAAAAAAATATATATTAGAAGAAAAAATTATATAAATATTATTTATTAATTTTTTAATAGGATATTTTAAATGATATAATTTTAGAGATAAATTTGACGGGACAAAGGAAATATTTTTTATTAAATTGGCATATGATTTTATTTTTGTGTGTGTGGTGTGAATCAACCCATCTTTAGCTCATTCAAACAACCTATCATGAAACTCAATTCTCTAGCACACATTCCATCACAGCGGCACCACATTCAACCATGCTTACCGCTTTTTTGTTTGGCTTGTTTTCCCATTCCCTTTGAAGTTTGAACATCCAAAAAGGAAAGTTGTTGACAAGTTTTACTTGTTTCCTTTCTCGTTGTCTTGATTCAGTGTTTCTTCTTTGTTTATTTCTCTTTGATCTTCTTTCTCCCCAGTTCCATTTCCCTTTGTTTGAACATCCATGAAGGCACACAATTCCATTTCTGTCCTTCGTTTGCAGGTTCTGTAGCTAGCAAGCAAGCAATCGACATTGGTATATCGATTGAGTTTAGTGTCCGATCGACTCATGATCAAAGTAATCAGCACATAGGTATATCGTTTTTCTCTGATTTTTATTGCTTTACTTATTGTATGATCAGCTATCGACCTTGTTTCCTTTTGTGTTATAGGTGAAACTTGCAGTGTGCCATCACTCGTATTATCAGCAAGCAAGGAACTCCTTTTGGTGGTTTTCTTGTCATTCGCTGATTCTCTCTAGTCATCATCTCCGAACAAGCTTGTCAGAAAGGTATTTATTAAACCTAGGTACATAGCTTTCTGGTTTCTTCTCCATGCTCATTAAAAAAAATTTGTGGAGTAAAATGAAGTTATTTTCTCATGTTTAGGTACACTCACCTAATGATGCTTATTACTTAGTTTCTAACATATTGCTTGTGACTTGCAGCCATGGACTTTGTTCTGAGGAAGATAGATGAACACTTGGACAATCACTTGAGCTTTGATCAGCATATGAAGTACCTTAAAAGGAAATTAAAGGAATTGAATGGTCTGAAGAAAGATACAGAGTCTATAATGAGCATTGAGCTGCAGCCAAGAAAGAAACTCAAGGAGGAAGTCCAGATATGGTTGGAAAATGTTGAAAGAATCAATGGCGAGGTGCAAGACCTTGATGGAAGGATGGGTGGAAGCAGTGCCCTTACACGCGGATTTGGAAGACAAGATGTGTCAAAGAGTATAAAGGAAGTGGAAGAACTTATTACTCAACACCGTAAATTTCATGGAGGTTTGGTGGTTGACAATCCTCAATGGATCGGACAAGTTTTGTCGGCAACAAGTTTATCAGGTGAAGCTGTAAAGGCCTGTATTGAAGAGATTTGGCAGTGCTTGATGGATGATGAGGTTCAAAAGATTGGACTTTGGGGGATGGGTGGCGAGGGGAAAACAAGCATTATGAAAGTTATAAATAACCAACTCCTAAAAGAGACGGGGAAATTCGATATTGTGATTTGGATCACTGTATCCAAGCAGATGAGTATTGCAAAACTGCAGAAAGACATTGCAGGTAAAATTGGAGTAGAATTTTCTGGTGATGAAGATGAAACAACAAGAGCGGGAATGCTCTTTGAAACATTGTCTCAGAAGAGTAGGTTTGTGATGATCTTGGATGACCTATGGGAGAAGGTTTCCCTTGAGAGAATAGGAATTCCCGAGCCTTCAAATGGGAGTAAATTAGTGCTGACAACGCGATCATTTGATGTGAGTCGACAAGTGGGTTGTAGAGTAATCAAAGTAAAGCCTCTGATGGAAGAGGAGGCATGGAAGTTGTTCTTGGAGAAGGTGGGATTTGTTATTATCAATATTCGAGGCGTGGAACCAATTGCAAGATCAATGGCCAAGCATTGTGCAGGTTTGCCCTTGGGAGTAATTACTATAGCTTCATGTATGAAGGGAATTGATGACATTTCTGAATGGAGGAATGCACTGAAAGAATTAAGCCTACGCAAAAAAAGTGTTAACGGATTCGAAGACGAAGTGTTCCAACAATTACAATTTAGTTATGATCTGTTAAAGGATCCAAAACTTCAACACTGTTTTCTCAGTTGTGCATTATATCCAGAAGATCAGGAAATCGATGAGGGCCGTCTTATTCGACTTTGGATCGGAGAAGGGCTTGTGGAAGAAATGGATAGCATGCAGGCAGAGTTTGACAGGGGTCGTGCGATAATGAATAGACTCATCAACAATTCTTTGTTAGAAGTTTTTACTGAAAGGGAAAATAGAAGACGTGTGAAGATGCATGATCTTTTAAGGGACATGGCCTTACATATCGCAAAATCTCGATTCTTGGTAAAATCTGGGACGATGTTAACGGAGCCACCACATGTGCAAGAGTGGAGCAAGGGTCTAGAGAAAGTTTCATTGATGAGTAATCCCATGTTGGTTATACCCCCGAAAATGCCACCCCCAAAGTGCCCCAGGCTCACAACATTGTTGTTGTCTTATTGTCATATAACGAGTATTCCAGAAAACTTTTTCAAGCATATGCATGTGCTTAGGATTCTTGATCTCTCTGAAAATCCTATCAAGAATCTTCCACATTCCTTATCAAAGTGTCCCAAGTTCACAACATTGTTGTTGTCTGATTGCGGTATACAAAGTATTCCGGATGGCTTCTTCGACCAGATGAATGGGCTCAAGATTCTTGATCTTTCCGAAAATCCTATCAAGAGTCTTCCACGTTCCTTATCAAATTTGAAGAATCTCACTTCATTATTGCTGGCTGATTGTGATGATTTAGAGAATGTTCCGTCGTTGTCAAATTTTAAAGCTTTAAAGAAGTTGGATCTCCAAAGAACAGGTATCAAGGAAGTTCCTCATGGAATGGAAAACCTGGTGAGTCTCGAATACCTAAACTTAGGATATTTCAACAACCTAAACGAAATACCAAATGGAATACTTCCAAGTCTTTGTTGTCTTCAAGACTTGATCGTCGGTGTAACACCGATGAGTGGAAAGGAGGTTGGTGGATTGAAGAAATTGGAAATACTTAAAGGGAGGTTTAACGACTGTCACAACTTAAATATGTACCTCCAAGCTCTTCGTGGCCGAGAAGAGCCTCTCCAATACATAATATACGTGGGAGATGTAAAATGGCATGCGGTGTTTGTCGATACAAGAAAACTCATCGTTGTAAGTGGTTGTAACATCTATACATACCAGATTGTGCTTCCACGTGACATCGAGGGATTGCATGTTGGGGATTGCGACGTTGAATGTGGTGAAGAATACCCTCTTTTCTCCAGGTTTATCCTCTTCTCGGTTGGCTCCTTTTCATCCCTTAAATTTCTTTACATGTATGATTGTAGAAATATGAAGAAGTTGTTCTCTCCAAACTGTGTGCCGCCCAATTTACAAGAGCTTAGAGTTTTTGGGTGCAAGCAAGTGGGGGAAATAATAGCATCAGAAGTTGAAAGGGAGAAAGGAGGAGGGATTGTTACCATGGAATTTCGTCTTCCCCAATTAAGGGATTTGGATTTGTGGGATCTACCTGAATTGAAGAGCATTTGCAGTGTGGATGCAGCACTGGTCTGTGATTCCCTTGTAGAAATTGAGATACTTAAATGTCCCAAATTAAAAAGGATGGCTCTTACTCTTCCCCAACTTGATAATGTGTCATCATCTGCATCTGCAAATCTCCATCTCTCCATTTGGATAAGTCCAAAGGAGTGGTGGGAATCAGTGGAGTGGGATGCCAAGCCTCTTTTGGAGCCCTTCGTGAGGGAAAGGTAATGGCAAGATCAAACGGAGCAGTCGACAAGTAAAATTGGCAGTTGTTAGTGAGGATTTAATTGATGAATTTGCTTCGAAAATATTTGCAGGATGAGATTTTTTCATATGACAATCTTGTAAATTAACGTGTTGTTTATTGTTTTAGTTGTATTTAAGTTGTCTGTACAAGTAACTTATGCATAAATACAATAGTTTGACAATCTCTTAACCGATTATATTACTTGTGTCATATATATTAAAGTATAGATATTATAAGTTATATTTATAATTTAACGACGAACGGAATTACAAATGCTTAAAAGATTGACTTAATATTCAATATATATAAAGAGGAAATTGTCTCAATAAACAAATTAACGTGTACTACTCTTATTCCATAGAGTTTACGATTTCATATTTATTATATAGTTTTTTATTTGTTATGATTAGGTTAATATAAAATGAAATAAGCGTTTCGTCACGTTGAATCATTAAAATCGATTGATTTTAGGGCTTATAATTTATAAGATTAAAATTTTTACATAAAATTTGGGTATACTTCTTATAAATTATGATTGTATAACATTTAGAGTTTACTCATTATGATTTAGGGTTTTAATATTTTTTAAATAATTTAAGTAATTATAATGTAGTATATATTTAATATTTTTCTTAACCAATAACAATTTACTCTGTATACGTAGCTGCTCAAATTCTAATTTCTTAAAGTGATTAATAATCCATTTTATAACTTGGTAAATATACATTTTGATATTTAATTCAATTCCAAGGTTGAATTTGATATCTATTTTTTTTCCAAGTAGGTGCTTAAACTTACCTTTGAGATTTATATTGGTATCTAAAGTTTTTTTTATCCAATTAGGCGCTTCAAGTTAATTTTTTTTCAAATTAGTATATGGACTTAACTCTATAGTCCAAATTGATATTGGCAGTAAATTACTTATTTAAACCAATTTAAACTATGAAATTAAGCCCAGGTACTAATTTAAACAAAAAAAAATCTAAACTCATGAATCTAATTTGACCACAAAAGGTTTAAATACTAAATTGAATTTTGATGTCAAATTAAGATAACTAATTAGACCAAACAAACTTAGGTATCAAATTGAATATTGAATTTTGATGTCAAATTAAGATAACTAATCATGCCCACTTTCGTTGAATAGGCCCACAACTCATTAAAAATGACGACCCGACCGACCCGACCATATGCTTAATCTAGGGTGGGAATGAGATCCGAATAGGGGTGGGAATGAGATCCGAACCCGACGGGTTTCGACCTGACTCGACCCGATCGAGTCGGGTTCTTTTTAAAAATTTTGGGTTTGAGTCGGGTCGGGTCGAATTTTTTAAATATTATATTTAAGTCGGATCGATTTCGGGTTTAGGGTGAAAAATATTCGACCCGAGAAAAAATATATAGTTTTACCTTATATATTTAAGGATAATTAAAATAATACCCTCTATATATTATTTTTTTAAATTAAGTCATTGTTTTATTGAATAAAAATAATATTTTTATTATTATTTCGAGTGAGGTCGGATCTCGGATAGAAGATTCTTTATTCTCAGATCAAATCGAGTAGACCAAAAATCCGACCCCACTCTTCCCATGCCCATCCCTAATCTAACCCCTATTTCTCCCATTTTTATTTTTCTATTTTTCCAATTCAGAATCTCTCTTTCTAGTTTACAATGCCACTGATTTTTGCCATTTGATACAATTTCCTCAAAATATACATTTTAAGTTCGGTAAAAGAACCCGACCCGGTGGCAAATATGGCGGCTTATAGAGCGGATGACGACTATGATTACTTATTCAAGGTGGTGTTGATCGGAGATTCGGGTGTTGGCAAATCGAATTTGTTGTCGAGGTTTACGAAGAACGAGTTTAGCCTTGAATCAAAGTCCACAATCGGAGTTGAATTCGCCACCCGGAGCATTCGAGTCGATGATAAGGTCGTTAAGGCCCAGATTTGGGACACCGCTGGACAAGAAAGGTGAGTCTTTTTCCTTATTTTTCTGTTGATTTTTATTATTTCTAATGGCTTTAAATTTCGAGAGATTCGAGTTAAATGAGATGTTTTTCATGTTGTTTCATTGAATTAGTAGAATGGGTATTTAGAATTTTGGATATCTGGGCTTCTATTTGGTTGCTGAGAAAATGTAGGAAAATTACTCACACATATTTATCACATTCGCATTTGTTTTGTTTGTTCGATTCTTGTTTTTGGATTTTTGGGTATTTTTAGAATATCTTAGTGATTTTAGGAAAAGAGGGTGATTTTTAGATTAGTGTATTGGTTTGTTGAAAATGTATTGAGCAATTTGTGTTGTTCTTTGGATTGTTTGGTTGGCAAGAAAAATGTGAGAATAAGCTGCATTCCTTCATGTAATTTTTTTCTTGTTAATTTTAATGCATGTGGACTTGGATTTTAGTTGTTTGATACAGAGTAGGTTGTGCTTTTAGATTGGTGCTTGTTTAAGCCTATGTGAAAGGCAACTTTACTGATTAACAGTTTGCAGATTTAATATGGCATAGAAATTTGCATTCATTAGATTATATACAGAATTTCACACTTGGTTCACAAACCAATGAGACAGAGAAAATTCATACATGTTACAACTCGATTCACGAAGGAAAAAATTGGGGAAAATTCTCTTAGAAGCTCTAGTCGAACTGTCCAACTATATTTGTAGCCGTCTTTTGGATATAGATTTGTCAAAGAGGATACCCTTTGTGTATCCGATTACTGGATCATGTCTTTTTTAAAAAAGAATTTTATTGTTGTATTAGTTCTATAAATTGACCTTGTTTTAGTGTTAAAGTTCATGTGATCCATTAATTTAGGATAGTGTTAAAGTGTCTATTTCAGATCCTTTCTATCCGTAAACTTCGATTCTCGGATTTGAGGAAAATGCATTTTTACATTTCTCTAGAACTCATTAATTGATATTTTTAATTGTAAAAGCTATATACATACTTCATTTTCTACATTGACGAACCTATTGCCTTTTAAGTTAAATAAAAACCAAGTCGATAAGCTTTATGGAATGAAACAAAAATTCTTTGCCGGCTCTTCTTGAACTCAAATGTTTAGGATGCTGGAATTTCCAATAGGTTGCAACATCTATGACTATGCTATATATAAAGTTCCCAACTGAGTTTGGTGCCATTGAATGAAGTGTGTGTATGCTATGGAGGTGTTATTGGTGTAAAATGGAAATAGAAATGATTTTATATTTGAATCACACTTTCTCCAAATAATAGATTGTTTTCATAAGCTTTCTGAGAGTTGATTTATTGTTATGGTATTTTCGAAGATACCGGGCAATTACAAGTGCATACTATCGAGGAGCTGTTGGTGCATTGCTTGTCTATGATGTCACACGACGAGTCACATTTGAGAATGTTGAGAGATGGCTGAAGGAACTACGGGGTCACACGGATTCCAACATTGTGATCATGCTTGCTGGTAACAAGGCAGATCTACTGCACTTGCGTGCCGTTTCCTCTGAGGACGCCACGGTATTTGCCGAGAGAGAGAATACCTTCTTTATGGAGACGTCTGCTCTCGAGTCGACGAACGTCGATAATGCATTCACCGAGGTGCTGACTCAAATATACCGGGTAGTCAGCCGGAAAGCTCTTGAAGTAGGTGATGATCCTGCAACATTGCCCAAGGGACGAACCATCAGTGTCGGAGGCAAGGATGACGTTTCGGCTGTCAAGAGCTCTGGCTGCTGTTCTTCTTAGCGTCGGATGGTTTCGATGTCCTAGTTTCCACCATTCTTCATCGCTTCAAGCACAAAACTTTCCTCACTGCTCTACGATCCTCGAGTTTCCCTGAGATTTGAGGTTCAAGACAATGAAAACGTGGCCCGAATTTTCCTCCATTCCGTAGTTTTGATAGTTTTCTTGTAGTTGATTGGTTTAGAATACATAGTCCTTTTATTTATTTATTTATTTATTTATTCTGAGACGGATCTAATTTTATATTTTTTAAATGATCATGATTAGTGATGTAAGATAACATTTGCATGAGCTATTATATTAATTATTTCTTAGATGCCCTAGGATTTAGAGTGACAGTTGAGTCGAGCCTTTAACTCTGCATGAAAAAGTATATTACGTATGAAAAGTACGAAGAAATATATATGTATATTGTCATAGAAAACCGTTTAAATTTAAATCAACTAGTACATAACATTATAAATTTTTATAAATATTTTATGTAATTTATTCATTTTGCCGGGTTTCAGTCAACCTTAATGTTTTGGGCATCCTTGGACTTGGTGGCTAGTGCCTCGGATATGGGGCATACGTTCTTCATGGACAACCACTTAAGCAACCTGCGTGAGTCCGCAATGAGTGTTCCGATTTTCTCTTGGTTCGTCTGCAAATTCCAAGAGAAAATGCGTGCTTCAAACTTGAAGATTGACTGATAAAAAGCAAGTTAAAGGTCTAAGCGCACTGAATTACCTGGCAAATGATGCAAGAATCGGGTCCTTGATCGATGGGCACCGCCTCTTCCAGGTTAATATTAGTTACAAATGTTGAATAAGTTCTAGTTTTCAATTTACTCGTAATGGTTTCCTCTGATAATACAGTGTCCACGTTGCCAATCCGTTCTCCCTGAGCAAGTAGCTCCTGTGATAATAGTGTCATGTAGTCAGGGGACCTTTTATGTCCTTTACCCTAAGGGTGCGTTTGGTTCACGGAATGTAAGATTACCAGTGGGAATAAAAGATTACCAGGGAATAGGATTACTGTGAATGTTGTATTTTGTGTTTGGTTGGTTTAGCAGGAATGTAAGATTACCGTATTTGATTAACGGAATAAAAGATTATTGGAATGTATATTTGACCAAATTGTCCTTATTATATATTTGTATAATATTACAAATTGTAAAATATTTATATATTTTCTTTAAAAAATTAAATTCATAATATTTATATAATTTTTTTACAAAATTAAAAATATAAAAAAAAGTTTAATGAAAGGGTAAATTTTTTTAACCCCTGAACTTCATATAAAATTTTAATTATAGATTTTTTTTGTAAATCTAAAATAATTTGAGGATAAATTTGTAATTTAACCTTCGTAGAATTTTTATTATTCAATGACAGAAGAAGAATATTTTTGAAAAAAAATAATAATTTAAGGGCATTTTAGTCCAAAACGACGATAATGTTACAATACCTAAGGGAAGGGATGTACTGAAATTCTCGGTAATATACCCAAAAAATCTACTATTGGTAATAAAACATTACCGGGAATGAGATTCCCGGCCAACCAAACATGGGAATGTGGGATTCCCATGGGATGGGAATCCCACAATCCTTGAACCAAACACACCCTAAAGAATTATACTTTAGTTTCGTATAAATTGGCTTAAATATATTAAAGGCCCTTGAACTTTCAAAAAAAAAACTAATGTGGCCCTTATCGTGTTTTTAGATCAATGTGGCTCTCCAACTCAACAAAAGAATTCAATGTGACATTTTGACCAACGTTTTCCGTCATTGACTAACATTTCCGTTAATTCCTTTTGGGTAAATTACAGCATTCATTACTCAACTATTTTCTTCTCTTCTATTTTGGTCACTGAACTCTAGAAGTTTTCAATTTCGAAAATCCTAGTGACTTCAGGGACTAAGGATGTAGTTAACCCATTTTACTCCATTTCTCTAACTTCTTCCCTCTCCTTCTCGCCGCCGCCGCATTATTGCTCCTGGGTTTTTATCATAATAAAACCCAGATCAAATAACTCCTGGGTTTTCATCATAAGAAGGTAAAAGCAAAATGTGTAGTTGGCAGATATTCAAGATTCCACTTTTTAAACAAATAATGGAGCTTAGCAGGAGGTTAGGCCTAGAGGGCAACCAAATAAAAGTTTGGTTTCAAAACTGGAGAACTCAGATGAAGGTAAGTGGATGATCTTATTTTGTTTTACTGTACAATATTGATGGTTGAATTGGTCTACACTTGTGTTTGAAAATACATACCCAATGGGAACGCCATGAAAAATGTAATTCTTAGGCAAGAAAACGATAAACTCCGTGCCGAGAATGACTTGTTGAAGCAGGCTATCACAACTCCTGTATGCAACGGTTGTGGTGGTCCTGCAGTGCCCGATGAAATATCTTATGAAGAACACCGGCTTAGGATCGAGTATGCTCGATTAAAAGACAAACTTAGTCGGACATGTGCCCTATCAAGCGAGTTCTTAGGTAGTCTGAAAACAAATGGAAACAGGGGAAGCGCTTTGGGGAAGAAAACATATGAAAAAAAGATGGGGGAAATTGATATTTTATCCCTAAATTATTTTGGGTTTAGAAAATGACCCGTGATTAATAATTTATCCATGAAACAAAAGTGACCATTTGTATAGTTTACCCTTAAAATAAAACGATTAACTACATCCTTAGTCCCCAAAGCCTAAAGTTTCTGAAATTGAATTTTCTTAAAGTTTAATGACCAAAATAGAAGAAAAGAAAATAATTGAGTGATGAATAATGTAATTTACCCAACAGGAATTTAGTTCAATCATCATGCAGCAGTCGCTAATGCTCAAACTCGAGACTTATAAGAATAACAACTGTTCTTTTAACCACTGATGTAATTTAGTTCAATTACTCTAAAATATATACAAATAATGATAATTCAAATACAACATAGAATGTTATATGAGTTACTTGATGTTAACTTTTTAAGTTGTAACCAGAAAAGTTTGTAATTTATATGATTTGTTATGAAGAACATAACATTTTTAGTTTCAACTTAAAATGTTACTTGGCTTATAAGTTTTTCAGTTACTATCGATTGTAACTTTTTTTAACTTTATATTAATTTGTTGTATTTTATATTACACCGAAAATGAAAGACTGAGTTTAGAACAACAATTGCATGACTTTATGTGATAAAATATAAAGAATGTAATAAAAGATTTGATATAGTTTTTTTAAATAAATGATTGACATGATGTTAGAAAAATATCTCTAACGTCTAATTGAATACTATTTTGATTTCTATTATTTTTTTAAAAATATTCTAACCTTTAATATTTCATTTTGAGTCAAAATAACTCTTTCGAAAAATTATTAATCAACTAATAATCAATCTTACATGATATAAACTAATGTAGCAGTTGTGGATAGATATTAAAAGATGTCAATGGAGAATTAGAGATGTTATATGAGAATGTAAATTCTAGAGTTATTTAACTTATATATGTATATTAGAAATATTCTAGAATAATATAAAAAATATAGATGTGTAGAAGTATTCATATACAAATTTAGAGATTTGTAATATTTAATATTATATCTAGAATTATTTATTAGAAGAACCTAGATATTTGTAATGTTAAATGGATAAGATGTTGACATTTGTTAACCATATAATGGCCACCAGTATATATAAATAGGGGTGAGTTTTACCATTGTAGTAAGAGTGAAAAGTGAGAAAATGGTACCAAAAGTGTGATCTAGAGAAAGAGAGCTTAGAGATAGAGAAGAAAAAAGTAGTGGGTATTAGTTTAGTGTGAGTGTTATATCTTAGGTCCTCAATAGTAAATGTGTTAAGCTCGTCGAAATTTCCAACAAGAGGTATGTTCCTTGGCTTCTTTGAATTTTACATTCGTATATTGTTGAGCTTAAAGCCATTTTCAATGAGAACCCATGTTTTTCAAAAGAAAAAATAGAATGGATGTTGTTGGATTTTATTCGAGAATTACAGTCGCATTTATTTCTAAAAAGAACTCTCAGCCATAAATATTAATTGTTATTTTCAATGAGATTGTCCATTTTGTTGTTAGCATTAAATATGTCTTTAGTTAATGTGTTTTATGTGACAATAATATTTAGTTTGATTTTAGATGTTCTATTGTTTGTATTGTATGCTATTTTGTTAGATGTATTGTTTTCAATGTCTGTCGGCAGTGTGATTGAAACACTTTATTTTATTTCCATGTTCTTAGTTGTATTGTTTTAATTATTAGTAAAGTAATTATTATTGAGCAAACAGAAAAAAGAAAATTGATGTGTTATCTTAATTTTCTAATGCAATTTTTGTTTTGCAGGACATTGGGCTTAATGTTTTAGAGAAAAAAAATACTATGGTGTTTATCTATTGCGAGGTAAAATTCGTAATGCATAAACAATCACTATTGATGAGCTGATGAAAAAACTTTAATTGAAGAATATGAAGCATACTCTAGGACTCGAATTGGGGAAAGAGTACGAGAATGTTGATACTCTGATATTTGGACATGTTATGATTATGACTGATCAAGATCTTGACGGGTCTCACATCAAAGGACTTTTAATAATTTTTTTCATTAATGTTTGCCATCATTATTGAAAATTGAGTTATTCTTGTAATTTTTATTACTTTTATTATCAAGGTATGTAATTTTGACAAATAATTTTATATGTTGAATAATGAAATGTTTATTTATAACCTCTTTATAATTGATTTTTTTATTAGGCTACAAACAACGAGGATAATAAAGTGAAATATCTAGATTTTTTACATGATTATGAGGAGAGGAGAAAAAAGCATGGGGTTAAGTTGAAAGAATGGTCAATCAACTATTTAAAGGTTTGTCTTTAAGTAGTATTGATTTACTCAGCTATCTATTGTTTATGATTTTGTAGTCATACTTCCTTTTTTTATTCATTGTAGGGGTTAGGCTCAAGCACAAAAGAGGAAGAAGAACAATACTTTAGAGAAATAGGAAATTGTTTGAAATTGTTTATATGGAAAGGTGTCAAAGACCAGAAGGCATTGGAGCTAGCATTTTGTAAGAAAATAGAGAACAGGGGGAAAGAATACCTATTAGGTTTTAACATAGTTGTATAGTTCATGCTAACAAAAAATTTAATTCTAGATTCTAGATTGTGAAATTCATGGAAATATGTCAAAGACCGGAAGGCATTAGAGCTAGCATTTAGTAAGAAAATAGAAAACATTAGGAAAGAATACATATGAGGTTTTAACATAGTTGTATAGTTCATGCTAATAAAAAATTTGGTTCTAGATTCTAGATTGTGAAATTCATGATTTTTTAGTCTAGAGACCAACTTGATCTCAGTTTGAAGAAAATCAGTTATGCTCAATTCATCAATAAAGATGTCACACCCTAAATTTTATTTTTCAAGTTAACAATAATTTAGCCTAAATTGGTAATTTTAAAATATGGGATCACTTTTTGTGAGTTTTCAATTAGTTCAAATACTTGAATCATAATTTTATTTTTCAAATTAACAAAGATTTAGTATCAGCTCACCATTACCCCGTCGTTCCCTTTGCTTTGGTCAGTGTTGACTTACACCGCTACCTCCAATAGATTCAACATCGTCTCCCGATCGACCCTAACCTCCAACTAACTCGAGTAACCCTTCGTTTGTCCTAAATCACGTGATAATCGTTCAAAACCCATTTTTTAATATCAACCACTATCCGTGTAATACCCCGAATCTCGGGTCAGTAGTTTGAGTCACCCAAGACCCATAATTCAAGCCCATTAGATCTCCTAGATTAGTTTGGACCAATTCAAAAGGGTGTTGGGCTTAAGTTTGGCCCAAGAGTATAAGTGAAGTGATGATTTTAAATAGGAGTTATAGATGAGGGACCAAAAGTTTAGTTT